TGACATGAGGGTTGTGGAAATGACAAGTCGTTGTTGCGATGACATAGTTGCTATACATAAAATCACAACAGTCAATATGAGTATAAGAGGAAGATTATTTAATGAACTGACAACTATGAATGCAAATCTTGACTAAAAACAGTTGAAACACAAACAAAAAACCTTAAAGAGGTTCAACCTGAAACAGTACATACTTCAAGATGACAGGTAATATCGCTCTCAACAAATGTGGCAAGAAACGTATTTAATGCATTGGACGGTAATGTGTAATAGGAACAGCTTAAATGCAGAGGTGTGTGAGTGAGTGAGTTTAGTTTTACGCTGCACTGAGCAATATTCCAGCTATATAGCGGCGGTCTGTTAATAATCGAATCTGGACCAGACAATCCAGTGATCAGCATCATGAGTATCGATCTGCGCAATTGGGAACCGATAACATGTGTCAACGAAGTCAGCGAGTCTGACCACCCGATCCCGTTAGTCGCCTCTTACGACAAGCATGGGTTACTGAAGATCAATATTCTAACCCGGACGTTCACGGGTAAAATGCAGAGGTAAATTAACAAAATCTATAAACTATTTTAATCTGTGAATGTCTTGAAACATGTTGATCTTATCCAACACTTTACAAACTGCAATCCCGGTCTTCTTATCGAGCTGATTATGGCGTTCTGTGACTGGCTGTGGCTCATCAATCAAGGAGATGATATTGTCATGGGGGTACCACAATACATCATTTTGTTGCTTTGGACAAAAGAAACGGTGTATGCCAATGCTATGAACAACTTAGATCTCGACTTCATCCATGTCAACATCCTGTATGATTCCTGGATATGCTCGTGAATCATACTACACCACACACAGTCAGATCGTCAGTTATGTCTTTCAAAGTTACCATCATTTGGCATTTCTGTAGTTTGCTGTACTGCTTTGAAAACTGGAACTTGAAAGCTGAAAAGCACTGTCACCGAAATGTTTTTTGACATAGGCAGCTGGGAATCCTGCAGTATCCTTCTCCCTCATTCTCAGTGTACAGCTGATGAAGTCTCAGAGTGCCTTTGATTGTTCGAAGACCCTTCTGCAGATATGTGTCTTCTTCAACAATAGCTTCATCCATGACAAAGCGTGTTCACATCAGAACATATTCTCAAGGCATATATATGTCCTTGAGTTAAATATATTCAATTCTACCATGGCTTCATTAAATACTGGATTGTGGTTGGTTAATTAAAGTCATTCAGGGGTATATAATCACGTTATACAGGCCCCGCAATCATACATGGTTTACGATAATGCACTAAATTCGTCTGCCCACCAACATGGCGGACACCAATCTACCGATATATCGATAGATTACAGCGATTTTGCTGTAGGAAATTACACATGTCTTTGAAAATTGATCCAGTGACGATAAACCCGACTTATCACCTGCGTAAATCACAAAAATTGGTGATAATGCATACAAAATTACTTCACAAGCATAACACAAATATTCGGTTGAACAAGATCAAAACATCGTCTGCTTTCCGAAGAGAATGTCAACAAGAAGAATATGTTTCCGTTGATTCTATGTTATGTCAACATAGATTAAGCGATAGACTGTTGCATAATTTCCATATTATATTTATTATTCAGATTTCGTTGACGATATGGCCACTGATCCTGATCCGGTAAAGCAGGATGCATTATGATACATACGCCCGATACAAGGAAAACTTCCGTCCACATAGACAGTTTGGTTCTTAATTCAAACGAACCGATATGTTTATGAGAAATATGTATTATTGTTTCAAATGTAGCGGTAGTAGCCCTATAACGCAATTACAGAAGCTGTAGGATTCACTATAAACCGTTCTGTTTAGCCAAACATATTTTTTGTAAAAAATATGATATCGTTGAAAAAAATTATTTAGCCTAGTCACGATCCCTTTGAGCCATTACACTGTTTGAAGAATATAAGTACTCACCTAACCGTGTTTAGCACACCCTTATGTCCTGTTCCATCCCTTCGGAAATATCCCCAAAATCCAACTCTTTGTCGGCAGACTCGCGAACATGCCTGCGAATTTATTAATTATTTACTTAACATTATAATATAAATGACAACTTCTAGCTTTAGTATATTTACACAAAAAGACTAACATTTAAAACTAACCTTATTCCTGTGGCAAGTAACAGTGCTTGCTGTGGTTTGCTGTGGTGTGCTGTGGTGTGCCGTGCTGTGTTCTGCTGTCTTGTCAAAGGCCTGATGCTAAGTGTCATGTGCTTGGACACTAAGGTTATCAAATAAGCATAAAAACACTTGCACCCAATCAGAGATTGGATCTCTGATCATATTACACACGTGCACCACCTCACTTTCTCAGTGAAGACAATATTCAATTAAGGGACATAAATTAGATGCACCTAAACCACATAGATGTTTACCAAGAAACCTCAACAAAGCTTTGTAACAACGCTTGGAATGCGAGGCCTCTTCATGGTACTGTGGCGATAAACCTACTGTGTTTAAAAATTAGAGGTAGTATAACGGAATTATAATTTAATTCAAAACACGGTAGGTTTATCTCCAAATTAGTCTGTCATACAAAGCTCATGTACAGATGAAGGAAGATAAGCGAGGAAGGTCAGTGATCGGTCTGTTGGCCATGCCCTATTATAAGACGAACAGCTTAAAATGTGTCTGTGAGGATTATCTTTGTTGATATGCGTCTCAATGAGCGCAAAAGAAACTACTTTACACCCAATCTCACTTCATATTATTTGTTTGTCCTGTTTGAGCGCCATCGAGCTTGGTGTTCATTCATGTCGTTTCATTGCTTTATCAGTGGTTCATGCACAAGCAAAAATGCCGATCTAATCTAACTACAAACCAAGACATCATTATTTATGGAGTGGATGACTTAAATAAACCATCTACAAACACACATGCCATTAAGACATGTATATATGTTGCACAGTGCCTAATGTAACAACATAAGGTATAGTATGACCAGAAATTATTGAGAACTTTAGGAATATGTTTAATTGGATTTCTAGTATAAACAACCTTGACAAGCTATCAAGTGCTTGCTTTCATTCAAGAGAGACAACTCCGTTAATCCTTTTTCATTAGTTTGTGAAGAGTTATCCCCCTTTGTTTACTTGCTAGCAGACGACATTTTCAGTGATCCTCAGTATGGATGATTATGAGAAGAGGAAGTTGATTTTAGAGTAATAAAACAAGGACATCAGATCAGCTAAAGTGATTTCAAGTAGAACAGGCATCCCTTTGTCGACTGTTTATCGTGTTTTGAAAAATATTGCAAATGGATATGGCAGTGAGCACCAGAGAGGCGCAGGTAGGCCCAGAAAGTTGACTGTCGGTGACAGGAGGCGGCTTGGTATTCTTGTTTCTAAAAAACAAACAAAGGAGTTTAGAAAACTTAAGGCTGGATATGATTGATAGAGGAACTGTGGCTCTCTGTAAGGAGACAATTAGAACTGAGCTGCATGCAATGGGTTGGCAGAAAAGTCGAGGAATTCCATCACCGATCATGAAACCTGAACAAAAGGAGCGAAGGTTGAACTGGTGCTTACAGCATAGAAATTGTAACTGGGACAATGTGATTTTCTCAGATGAAAGTTCTGTGTAGCTGTTTCCTAATACATTGAAATTCTGGACCGAACAAACTGAAAAACCCTTGTATCAGCGCCCAAAGTACAGTCCGAAATTTAACGTGTGGGGGTGGCATATCTGTGTTCGGGGCAACGCCCCTCTGTGTATTTGAAGGGAATATGAACAGTGAGCGGTACACAGATATTCTCGAGGGACATTTACTTCCATCTGCTCACGTGTTCTATGGAAATGTTTGGATTTTCCAGCAGGACAACGACCCAAAACATCGTTCAAAGCATTCACAGGCCTGGTTTTGGACCCAAAATATGACATTATTAGATTGGCAAAGCTATAGCCCTGACCTAAATCCAATAGAAAATGTTTGGGGACTTATGAAGGAAAGTGTCAATAAGAAAAATCTGACAAATATTGCTGAAATGAAAGAAGAGGTGGTCCGATATTGGGACAGCATGGACCACGACTTTCTAACTTCTTTGATCAATAGTATGCCCCGCCGCATTGAAACCGGCATTGCTGCCCATGGCGACTTGACAAAATACTAACTGTTCACCTGTCTTTGAATCTGGAGTTATTCTCACTAATTTCTGGTTGTACTGTATAATTAAGCCTATGAACTCCAAATGAGTGAGTGAGTTAATATCGTGGCGAGAACAATTCATATATTAAAGATCAATAGATTTTGAACAAAAGAACTGTCGTCGATGGACAGTAAATTTACTCGACTATCACAGATCTTAACTTAAAACTAGTATGCTATCATAAAAATATATTACTATAGACAACAATATAAAATGGGCTACAGATCACCAGTAACTGAAGGCTGATCTCCATATTGGAGACCATGGGGACTTTTTTCTACCTGCATGGACCGTAGCTGGATTTACATCAGACCCTCAGGTGTTAGCCACAAAACACAAATTCTACGATTAAAACTCTGGCAATGATAAACATACATTGAATGATGTGGTCTTACGTACCGTCTCCGGGGGACAATTGTTTTGCGCAACTTCAACCCTCCTTGAGGGTACAGCCACTTACAATCATAGTTATTTATTACAAATATAGATTAATTTTAAAGACAATACATGATCACAGTTTATTAATTAATTCCAATTTCTTTAAAAAGAACTAAAAATAAATGAGGACTGAAATAAAAAAAATCCTTCAAGAATGAAACCGTAAAATATCGATCGATTGAAATATCATGACAGTTAAGCAAGACATGCTGAACTCCAAATGGATAACCCGCGGTGTAACGAGGGAAATGCTGTAACCAATACCGTAACATTCGCCATGGAAAAGACATATCAAATCACACATTCTGCACAATGTTTTGTTTGAGTCACGTGAATGTAAGCCGGTGGTTGGCTGAAGCGTCTACTTCCTGCTTGTCTGAGGTCATTGTAACCTGGTATCACTAAACTGATTTAATCTCGAGATCACAATAATTGCCTATAATGAATACACCTGTTATGTTGAGTACAGACTGTTCGACGAGATGTTCATATAAGAAAAGGTCGATACAACGTAATACAACCGACAAGCTAAGCTCCATGCTGGGTAAGTACACCCTTGTAGAAAGTTGTATACTACACACTAACCATACGTCAAATTAGTAACATATCATGTGGTATTGAGAAGAACATGGCACTTGTGAACTGACTTAGGCCCACTCACAAAGTATGGAATAACACTAAACTCCCTTGGCCCTGAAACTGCAAACTGATATTGACATTTCAAGTTCGTGTCAGAGACTGTTGACCTGCATCGTGTGACAACATTCGGTCTACCTTTTTCATTACATTTGTGTATTAATATCTGCAATTGATTATGAGAATGTTATATAAAAACAAGTGTGAGGGGGTAATTGATTTTAGATTCTTGTTGTACCTTAAACACAATAGTGAAATATAGACCGTTTGAACATGGTCCTGGCGATTGGAGTGAAAAGGTGGTCGTGAAGCATGAACAATATAATCACGTGCATCGCGTCACGTGGTCACCTTAGTGAATGCATTACAGTTGGAAGTGTGATAGAATGGCGACTGTGCCGTTCACAAATCAGCAGCCTACCATGTGTAGGGTTAATTGCTAGACAATCCATTGCAGCAGTTACGGTAGTCCAACCCCCCGTCAAGGGCACAGCCATGATCAATCTCTGTTAATAAATATATCCTACCTACTTATACAAACAATATCTATGTACATCAGAATTTATGAATGAGATCTATTTCTTTTTAAAAAAAACAAGATTAAATGAAAATGAACGTTACTGAAAAGGTCCTTCATTGTTTTGACATTAACATATTTATCCCTTGTGATGAAAAAATCCCCAAACTTGAAATCGTGATGCATCTATTTTGATCTTTTACAGTGCTATAGGACTGAATGGTATGCTTCTTATGAGCAAATCCTCGAAATGACATTAACATTTTTAAAAATAATATAATGCAAGTTCATTGTGTTTCCTTACGAAAGAAATACATCTATTTAAATGAAATTGCAATAAACAAATATATGTTTTCTTTGATTCCACTATGAATTTAGAATATGACATTAAGTTAGAACAATGTTTTAAATTTCATATTTACGCCTACAATATTTGCCTGAGTGAGTGACTTAAAATTTAACGTCACCTCGGCAATATTTCATCCATATTGTGACGAGAAAGGTTTTACATACACAAAAAAGTTGTTAAATAATCAGTCATCGAGGACTGTAAACTAACTAGAGCATCACAGATAGTGTCTAAAACTAGCATGTAAATGTAAAACTATTTTATTTGCGAAAACAATGCAGTATAAAAACAGGCTATAGGTCGCCAACAACTGAAGGTAGATCACCATACTAGGGACCATTGGGACGTACAGTGCTTTTGCTACCTGCATGGACCCTTTTTGGATTTACACCATCCCCTCAGTCGCTGGCGATTGTAGGAAAAGTTTAGCCGAAATTTAAAAAACAATAATAATACTTTAAAAATCTGTTAAGTTTAAATTTAAGTTTTGAGACTTACGTACCTTCTCAGGAGGACAGTAATTTTACGATACTTTAACCCCCTTTAAGGATACAGCCACTAACAATTGCAGTTGCTAATTTTTACTACCATGTTTATAGTATCGTTTAACTATTTACAAAACATATTATTCAAAATTTGTCTAATGATTCAATTTCCTTTAGAAAATCAATTATTAAATGATAATTAACATTATAAAAAATATCCTTAATTGTTTTGACACTTAAATATTTATCCCTTGTGATAAACATGCTTGACCGTGATTCTCACGTCAGAAGGGATACAAATCGGAGGATCTTCACCTTTGAGCAAATATTCATGAGTGAATCTAGCATGGCAAATGCGACATCGTCGCATGATGACCTCTTCAACTCTGGACTGACAACCCAAGTAGGGTTTTAAAGCATATAATTTATTAATACCTACTTGAGTGTCCCACTTCTTCTGCATAAGATCATTAGATCACGAATGTGTGATCTTATGGTTGCTTTGTAATCGGAGTATGGCATGAGAAGTAGTGTCACGGATTTGTTGAGTCCTGCCTTAGCAGCAAAATCGGGCATTGTGTTACCAGGGATTCCAACATGGCTGGGTATCCTTTTGCAACAGAGGACGATATCGTATTGACAAGTAGCAAGCTCATTATACAATGCAACTGTATCGATTGCAAGAGAGAATTTTTAATAGCCTGAAGGCACGAAAGAGAGTCTAAAAAATGATATATTGTTCATATTTAGGAGTTTTTTAAATATATTTAATCCCTGTTAATATTGGATTTGCTTCTGCTATGAAAATACAACTATCAACGGGTAATCGAAAAGATATTGTTCTGGATCCAGTCACAGTACATTTGCCTGAAAAAAACACACATGTTCCTCAAGTTAGTATCAATATTATTCAGTATTTCAGCTTCAAAACCAGCATCAGATACTTTACCTATTACATATCCACATGTATCTTTCATATTTGAATTTACCTTTGTTTTTGCTGCAGACAATTCTACCTTACATACGAATATTAGTTACTTTGTTTATGTGTGATTTTATGTTTGCTTGTTGTTTAACGCCGCCCTCAGCAATATTCCAGCTATATTCAATGCCTATATCTACACGCACTTAAATTTCAGAAGATTTAATAAAGAATCATATATTTTTTACAAGTAATTGATATGTGAATTATGCCAAATAGGAGTCACGCTTGGTTTAGTTGAAGAATTCAGGTAATTATTTTTCACTTGACAATACTCAGAGAAGATGTTACGCTTTATTGAAATGATAATTTCTATCATCTATCCTCTGACGACTCAGATTCCGGGGGTATGAAAGGAGGCAAAACAGTGGTGGAATTTATATGAAAGGGTTCGCGAAAGGGTAAGCCTATCCTGGTCCACGGGCAGCAGGTTGTCTGACACCGCAAAGCAGTACTCGTGCCATACGCTGCTTATGTTAATACAAATACGTAAGTTTAGGTTCAGTTTGCCAGTATTATAATTGAAATATTCTGTCCTGATGTATATATGTAAATTGTCGAGTGTAAAGTACGTTTTTCACAGCTGTACATATTTGATCTATTTACTGAACAGCGTACAAAGTCGGCCAGCACTAAATATGCGACTTTAGTCAGGTCTGATGCAAGCAGCCCAAATCTCATGCATGAAGGTCGCTATATAAGTTACACTTCTTGAACCCATTTCAACTCAATCCATCCTTCACAGTGGCTGTGCTCATACCCATTCCTGTGAAAACGAAATCGACAGTTAAAGATTGTTCGTAGTCATAATGGTAGTCTCATCTAACTTTATTACATTTAATCTTTTTCAGATGTACCTGTGAATGTCCAAGTTCCACGATGTGCTCTTTCAGTAAATGCTTCGAGGCTGTGTCTGACTTTTTCCAGAGGATTTTCGACACCATCGGCGTTTTCATTGGCACCTACCCAGTTGTCCTCATAATTATGTCACTTTCGGTAACTATTGGTCTCAGCTGTGGTATGATAACACTGTCCAGCGAGTCAGACACGGAGACATTGTACACGCCTACTAACAGCCGAGCATCACAAGACAGAGTTCAGTACCAGGCCACGTTTCTCGATGCCACGAGAAGCAACTACCGCGGATATGCACTGTCAGATCTCGCCATGTTTGGCCGCCTTGTAGTAAGCAGTGCAACAGGTGGGAACATACTGTCCAATGTATCATTGGAAGAAATACGGAACCACATCAGAATAATAAAACATTTCAATATTACATATAATGGTGTGGTGTTCAAATATGACGATATTTGTGCTCGACAAGATGGGAGTTGTTTTGTGTCAGGAGAGCTCCTTGTAACAGATGCTGTATACCAAGCCTATCTAACTGGCGGAATCACTTACCCAAACTGGAATAACATTGACTTATCAGCAATTCTTGGCCAGGTTGATTCAACAGGTGGAAAACTAGTGTCTGCAAAGTACCTGAGCATTACGTTTAATTTACGAATGGATTCAGCTTATAACAAGGCAAAGGCAAAAGCCTGGGAAGAGGAGTTTCTGAAGAGAGCGGCAGCTTTAGACACAACATCTACCAGGTTAAACTACGCCGCCTCACATTCGTTGGACACAGAGCTGAACAAAAACACAAACGGAGACATTGTGTTCTTCTCTATAACGTTCACGTTAATGATCACGTATGCCACTGTCGTTGTCGGCGGTGATGCGGTGTCATCGAGGGCGTGGGCATCTTGGGCAGGAGTGATGGCAGCTGGATTTGGCATCATCTCATCGTTCGGACTTGTCAGTTTTTGTGGTGTGAAGTTTGTCAATATCGTCGGTGTAACACCATTTCTTATCATAGGTACGTTAAAGTACTTTCACAAAAGAGTTACAGGCTACAGGCAGGACCTTAATAGTTAGATATACTGGCGATATACTCAAACATTTGGTTTCCCTTTAAGTGACCCGAAACAGATAATTCATCACAGCCTTATTGTTGAAGGTATCGGTGTGGACGACATGTTCCTGTTGATGTCCAGCTGGGCGGAGACCTACCCTCTCCGAGACCAGACTGTAGCCTCCAGGATGGGGAAGACATTTGCTTCAGCTGGTATCGGTATCACCATCACGTCCCTCACGGATCTCCTGGCCTTCGTTATCGGCGCGTCTTCTGTTTTTCTCAGTGTCAGGAATTTCTGTCTCTATACAGGTTAGTGGCTTCAAGAGATGTCAGTGTGTGCGAAAGAATCTTTTTGCCGCTTTGAGCAATATTCCAGCAATATCACGGAGTGTGGGGTTTACACCAAAAAAGGGCTTCACAAGCAAGCCAGTAGTCACACCAACAGCTTATGTTTCCTACTCCAATACATGTGCATACAGGACATATGTGTCATTCGTATTAGTAATATATTGTTCACGTTATATTCATGCTTTTCGTTCACAGGTGTGGCCGTCATCTTCTGCTACCTATACCAGTGCATCTTCTTTTCCCCTTGCCTGGCCCTCCATGGCCGTCGTGTTGACAGCAACAGACATTGCATGACCTGTCTCAAAACCAAATCCAGAAACGAATTCAGGAACGATGGCACCTCAACATGTAAAGTGTTCTGCTGTGGAGGGTCACCACCAACAAAGAGGGGGCAGGACGAACGATACGTTGAGACCCTGCCACGGAAGTACCTGCCACGAATGCTTCTGAATATGTGGGGGAAAAGTATTGTTATTCTCATATATATTGCATACCTTGGCGTGTCCATATGGGGAACCCTGAACTTCAAACAAGGTTTGATTCTGAAGAATCTAGTGTCCACAGATTCATACTATCATTCCTATAGTGAGACATATGATACACACTTCTCCAGTTCTTTTCCTATCCCGTTTATATTTGGCCCAACCACAAATTACACAGATAAGAATGCAGTAAATCATATGGAGTCTCTGATTGATACTGCAAAAGCAGACTCTGGGGTAGACGAGAATTCACTTATTTGTTGGTACTATTCTTACAGAGCAACAACTGCTTATGATAACAGCAGCAATGTCGCTTTTGTATCAGGGTTGAAAACATTTCTTACAACAACCACAGTATTTGATAATGATGTTGTATTTGACTCATCCGAAACTGCTGTCAAAGCTTCCCGATGTTATTTTTTATCAACAAATATTAAAGAATCCAACGCCCAGGCCCATGTGATGGTTCGAATGAGGGCTTTGGCAGACAACTCACCTCTCTCTGTCTACACCTTCCATCCTGCTTACATCTTCTTTGAGCAGTATGTTGCTATCCTACCCAGTACATTGCAAACTGTGGGCGTCGCACTCGCTGTTATGACTGTCGTGACCGGCATCTTCCTTCCTCATCCTCTCCTGGTTTTCCTTGTGGTCATTAACATTGTTTCTATCCTCGTTGGCATCTTCGGGTTCCTTCATGTCTGGGGACTGAGTCTCAGTTCAGTGACAATGATCCACCTCATCATGTCTGTTGGCTTCTCGGTAGACTTTAGTGTGCACGTGTGTTCTGCCTATATGATTGGGAAGGGAAGAAACAGGAGAGAGAAAGTCGAATCTGCCATAGCCCATGCAGCTGGTCCCATATTAAATGGTGGATTGTCATCTTTTCTGGGCATTCTTGTGCTGGTGTTCTCAAGGTCCTACATCTTCAACTCGTTCTTCAAGATCATGTTTACAGTCATCCTGTTCGGTATGTTGCATGCCGTGTTTCTTCTCCCTTTGATACTCTCTATTCTTGGGCCAGTAGTCAAATCTAGAGATGCAGAGTCCCCTCAGCGTATTCGACCACAAATAGCCAACCGCCCACCGACACCTCCCATTGACTACCCCGTTTGTTGCCAATGGCGGTACTGAACATTTTTTAGAATTGAAAATTAACTTACAAAATGTTGTAGAGTGATTTATACTTTTCAAAATCAAAGACACACGCCTCAATGTTATATTCATTGTCCCCCCTGTGAATTCACAACAGTTGTATCAGTCAAAGAGATATTTTGGTTTAAACATATTTATTTCCTGAAACCTGGGTTGGTAAACAAACATTTTATGCTTATATAAATACCGCCCCAGCAACATAACATTCTAAAATCGTGATGGTTACAAGTAAAATATTTGACAACTCATGTGTTCATAGATAAATAAAGCATGCGTTCATAAGTAAATGAAGCAAAGATGCAATTAACAATTTGATGATAAGTGTTGCAATGAAAACAAGTGAACATACAGGCATACAAGAGTTCTAGCTTTACAGCTTTTGCAATCATAATCTTACGAAACTTGCCTTTATAGCATTTACAAATCGACTGCTTTTAGTTATGAAGTGATGAACAGATTCTAATATATCCGTTTCAACATTTTTCCTAAATAACCTGTTACCACATAAGATAGTTTCTAGATCATATCCGTAGATGTAAAATAAGGCATTTTTTATGATTTCACAACATTTAGTACAAGTAAAGAAATAATGAAATGAACTCTCAATTTCGTGCCCACAAGATCAGACCGGGTTTTCTGATTCATATCTTTGAAATTTGTCTCAGTTAAGATCACTGCATCCTAGTCTCAGTCGAGTGTGAGTTATTTGACAGTTTCTACTACCATAATATACACCAAAAGTAAAGATTACATTTATTTTGTTTTTTGATAGAGGCGTACAATTTCTAACCTCGAGAGCCAGTGAATTCCAGAGTTTGATTGTGTCTGGAATGAATGATTTGCATATCTTGTTGTTCGGCAGTAAATGCTTCTCAAATTAGTGCCATCACGTTTTCCCTGACTAACTGGGGTAACAGATGGCACATATAGTCCGGTAATAAACGATGATACATTTTATGAAGTGTTAGCAATTTATATTCATTTCACTCAACGAGGTGAAGGAAGTTTCGCGATAAATCTTTTCATGGCTTGTTCCACGGACACCACCACATATTGTTCTAAGGGGATCTAGATGTAGTTTTTCTGAAGTAAGGCCGTGCTGATCTGTACAGTTGTCCCAAATATGAGAGCAGTAATCAAATGAAGGAAGAATATAGGATTTGTACATGGTCTCTAGTGATTTTCTGGACAAACGATATTTGAAACTTTTAAGACAATTTATTATGGGACTAACAGTTTTAAGAATGTTGTGAATGTGTGCGTCACATGAACAGTTGTTTTGCAGTGTTATTCCAAAGTGTTTATGACTTTCAACATCTTGCATAGCAATCCCATTCATAAATAAGTTCGGTTTAGGGTTGAGAACATTTCTGCGCTCGGACTGCATAGTTTCTGTTTTTAAGGGATTAAAAGTAACTTGCCACGTATTTGCCCAGTTGGATATTTTTCTCTAGATCCTCATTTAAGCAGTTAGCTGCTTCTAATGGATCGTCTACGATAACATAAATGGACGTGTCTTCAGCGAAAAGACTGATGTTACTGTTAATCCCATCGACTATATCATTTATGTATATAATAAATAGTAGTGGTCCTAAAACTGAACCCTGTGGAACACCAGCCATTACGGGTATTAATAATAACAACAACCTTTTGTACTCTATTTTGTAGATAACTTTCAAACCATTTTAGTACATTTCCTTTAATTCCATTTGCCTGAAGCTTTTGGATAATTCCCTTATGCCAGACTTTGTCAAACGCCTTACTAATGTCGCAGAAAACTGCTCTTATCTCTTCACCTTCATCCAGGCCTTTAGCGATAAGTATGTTACTTGGTTGGCACAAGAGTCGCCCGGCATGAATCCCGACTAAAGATTGGAGAGTAAATTGTTGTCTCTAAGGTAATTAAAAACGTGCTTGAATACACATTTTTCAAAGATTTTAGATAAACAACTCGTTAAGGCCACGGGTCTGTAGAGCATTCATTTGTGCTTCCTTTGTTATGGAGAGGAATTACATTCGCTTCCTTCCACAAGGACGGAAATATCACTGCTGTAGGGAAAATTAAAGAATAAAGAACTTAGTTAGTATGGGTGTTTAGGTATTAGCCGTTATTTTCAGAAGTTTATATCTAATGACATCAGTAATATCGAGAAAAATACACAATCCAAAACTGCTTTCATATCCAAACAAAGGTACTCATTTCAGTATAATGTTTTTCAGAAACGATTGTTATGTACATGTATTATATTTCTAGAGATGTGATACATGGTTTGTCTGCTGTATATTGCAAATAGTAGCGACATGTTTACCAGGGTGTTCCTTGTTGTCTAAATGTAATATTGTAAAAGCATCCAGTAATATATGTTCATCTGTCTTTGTGTTGAATGTGTGTTGCGCATATGAATCAAAATAAACCCAAGGTCATCATACTTCTCCCACATACAAAACACAATATTATACACACTGGGCTGAGACAAAAGGTTCAATTCGGATTTTAGGTGAATGTTTACGTGGTAGTAAATGCAAAAATGCATATAATTTCTTCTTTGAATGTGAATTCTTAAAAATAGAGAAATAGACACGTTACGCACGAACATGAATAGTAAATACACTGGTTGATTTCAATTCGATGTTAAATGGAAACTGCGATTTATAAGATCAAGACCATGTAAAATATATCTTACCTTAACCATTCAGCTTTAGTGAATAAGACATGTTTAAACCCACTGTCTTTGTGTGTTTTATTTCCACTCTTTGTGTCTCTCTATGTCCATGTACAAGTACCAAGTTACTGATATTGTTAGTGGTGGTCAGTTTGAGTTCGGTATAAACGTAGTCTACTGTATTTCATTACGATGATTGGGTACTTTAATAGTGGTTACATACTGGATTTCAAATAGCGATGCTTACGAACGTAGAAGACAATAAACACATGATTTAAAGGCAGTAAACGAACATACATATACAAGTTTGCATGTTGATGACAAAGAGGTGGAGGACTGTTCTTCATATATGTATATGTGTCGTAATGGCTAGTTTCACAACCAGAAAGACATTAAATACGTAGAAAGAAATATACCCGAGAGTTAAAGAATGCCACAATTCGTTGAAGCACGCGATGATCAGTGAACGAATATCAACAGATATTTTGCAGTAGGGTGACACCTGAGACATCAATATATGTAACTCATACCACACTATGAGTACATTGTGTGGAGCTCATTTCTGGTGTCCCCCGCCGTGATATTGTTGGAATATTGCTAAAAGCGTCAGAGCAAACTCAATCACTCAGTCACACCACAATAACATAATATGTATTTATAAAAATATATAACTAGCGTAAAAGTACACGTTTTCGTCAAAATAAATGATATTTGTGACTCTATTAAGGATAACCAGATTAGTTAATTTTCTTGTTTACAGAAACGTGGGGACACGTAGATCAGTTTATGTGTACATTTTCTTTCATGCAGAATGTGTATTTTCAGGAACAATGATGTAACAATCCGTCTAAACCCGAGAGCGTATCAGATTGAAACAAACAAAGTTAAGAATGGCTTTTATGGTGATTTAAACAGCGATCCCACTTCTCTGAGTAAGGTTTAGGTATACATTTTCCAGGCCTACAAGGCTGTTTCTCCTCTGCGTTTTTCTGCTCTATTACCTTTTCGGCTGAATATTGTATGGGATTTTTCGAGCAGCTATATCACTTACAGGTTGCATGTCTTGTGAACAGAAAGAATGTGCTTGCATGTGTCAAGTGTAATTTAACACACATTAAACCAGATGTTTGGTGTTAGGGTGACCTCTTCTCTGCGGCCATCTGTTATTTGAAAAATATTCAACGAAAACCAACAAATCTGAAAGGTTTACACTCTAACAATTAACAGTGATAGTCCTCGTGTGCCCATACATTCATCACAATTCACTGGTATGAAATATAATCATGGGACATGTATTTCTTTGACAAATCTCTCTTGATCTTAACATTTAATTGCAGGTGTGCAAAGGTGACGCAGTGGCAATCCGCAATTGTAACTTAAGCTATTAATAAACGTAAATCAGGTTATATTATATCTTGTACGAACAATACATTGTGGTTACATGTTAATATCCACATGTGGACGAGCTGGTCAAGGCATTTATGCAACACTCTGTTGATGATATCGAGAGAAAGATCGAGAGATGATGGATATGTCATAAGTCCTGTTGAACAGGAAAAACGTAAGAAGTGAGAACCTCTATGTTATCGTGTGTATGTCACCAAATATTGCCCATGTACACATCACCCTAGCTGCAACCAGAAGGACTTCAGATTGTGACCTTGTAATGTATATATATGAGGTTACGATCCTAGTGTTGAGGGACGCGCTGTTGCACGACACATTCCAGTTGCACGACAGTTTTAAAACTCCCTGGATAGCTTCGAAGGCAGTTTTCAAGTGTAACCAAACCAATTATGTATATTATATGTTCTGGATCCTCTTTCACGAACAAATGTGTGTGCTGACTGAAAAAATATTCTTTTCTAACAAACAACAAAGCTCCCATCAAAATCTAAAATAAATGTTGACTTTCGAAATATAATGTGTACTTTTAAAAACTAAAATAGACGCATAAAAGGAAACATGTTTTAGTAAAAGTAAATCAATTTTATGGTACAATTCTGGATTACCAGATATGGATAATTCACAAAAGAGGTGAACTGTAGTCTATTTTCCCTTACATAAAACTTATAAAGCGGTTTATTTAAACCTTCAGTAATGCAGAATGTGTGTTTTCATTTAACATACTGGAACAATCCAAGTCATAATGGATATCAGATTGAAACAATAAACGTCTGCTGTCAGATTTGATATGGATAGAGATTTTTCCATTAAGCTGTGGGATCTGGTAGATATAGCCTACCAGACTTGGCATAATGATATTTGCAGCTCAACGTTTCTCAACCACTATTCACAATTTAAATATGACCTTCACTTGGAACCGTACATCACAGAATTGAAAAACAAATACTTAATACGTGCGTACTGCAAATTTCGAATTTCCCATAACAATCTGAAGATAAACAAATTTAGAGGTAAAAAAAAAGATATCCCCAAAACAGGATATTTGTGCACTGTATGTAATGCATTGGAAGTTGAAGACGAGAATCATGTCTTTTTTTATTGTAAATATTACGAATGCTGGCGAGAAAAATATTTGGTACAACTTCGAAAAGTGTATAAAGGTCCACTAACTTTAGAATCTATTTTCAAATCAAGAAACAGTCAGGTAATATATTTCACTGCTTTATTTCTGCATAATGTATTCCAAACAAGAGCTGGATCCATTTGACCAATGTACATCGATTTATACAACTGTATAACTGTATTATAGGCCACTAGGCCGATATTACGCAAATAAACTGTCTGTCTGTCTGTCTGTCTGTAGATATACTCATGAATACCAGTTGAAAGGTGATAATTATCCGTTTTGCATCCCTTGTGATGAAAGACTGTATTGAATTTTCCATCAATAGGGATCAATATTATAATATCAAAACAGTGAAGAACCTTTTTAATAACGTTCATTCTGATTTAATCTTGGAGTTTTATAAGAAATAGAAAGTATTTTTATATCAACCATCGTTTTAATAGTATAAGATTTGTTTTTTGTAATGTTCGGCCAAATTTGTCAATAATCGGCAACACCTGAAGGATGGTGTAAATCCAACTGGGGTACTGTTTATCACGAGGGATAAATATTTTAGTGTCAAAACAATTAAGGATATTTTTTATAATGTTAATTATGATTTAATAATTGATTTTCTAAAGGTTAGCAACTGCGATTGTTAGTGGCTGTATCCTCAAAGGGGGTTAAAGTGTCGTAAAATTATTGTCCTCCTGAGAGGTTACGTAAGTCTCAAAACTTAAATTTAAACTTACCAGATTTTTAAAGTATTATTATTGTTATTTTAAATTTCGGCTAAACCTTTCCTACAATCGCCAGCGACTGAGGGGATGGTGTAAATCCAAAAAGGGTCCATGCAGGTAGCAAAAGCACTGTACGTCCCAATGGTCCCTAATATGGTGATCTACCTTCAGGTGCTGGCGATCCGTAGCCCGTGTATTTATATTTTATTGTGTTCTGTTGTGATACATTTTATTATACCATGCTGGTTTTAAACCGAATCTGTTTTACTCTGGTGTTTTTACTGTTCTTTCACCACAGGTTTTTATGGTATAGATTTATTCAGGTTAAATGTATGGATTTCTCTCGTCACGGTATGGCTGAAATATTGCCGATGTAATTTAACCACAATTGGAAATTTCGGAACATGATTTGACAGAAAATGAATTCATTACAAGTGCGAATGCTCATTTTTAGATAGTCACAGTATAATATATGGCCACAACAGACAAGGGAAAATTCACAATACTGTAAAAGTGTAGACTCAGTTGATTAGCCCTAAAAGTAAAATGATTGATTATCTGTGTATGTGAATATACAAAGTATCAGCAACAAAACGTCTGTTGGAGCAAGTGAACAGAGACATTTCTCCAAAACTAAACAACTGAGAATTCCATTGCTGGCTGTTAGTTGCCCATTACGTGTAACATGTTATTATGACGGGTGGAGTCAGTTTCGACAGACACATGAAGCGGGTTGCTCCTGGAGTTGTTTGTTTTCATGTTGCCGCAGGAGACCAATTCAAACACAGATCTTCACTGGGGTATGCCTTTTGAAATCTGATAGATCAGTCGTCTTGTAAACACGCAAACTGGTGAAATCCTGGTCTCGGCGCTCGTCCAATCATTGCATCAAGGAAGTTCAATGTGACCTGAAAATCTAGGGCATGGAGTTCTTGTTCGTATTCAAGCAATCAGCTCAGGGTTATTATTACCCACACAAACGCTTCATGATTGTCAAGATTTACAAATGCGATTAATGAAATGAGTCTTTCTAGGAAGGTACAGAACAGATAAGCACTGAGACGGAGACACGAGCTTTCGTTGACCCGTAAAGATCCCGGTTAGACTTGATCGTCAGCAACAATGCTGGTCGTAAGAAGTAACTAATGGGATCGGGTGGTTAGGCTCGCTGATTTGGTTGGCATCTTTTGGCAGTTAGGTAATGTGACTGCATTATATTACCAGCACTGGTAAAAAGCGCGTACAGCTTCCAAGTCAGTGACGTAATGAGGTTATTGGTAACGTATGGCATGGAGATCTAATTTTACACAGACATTCCAAGTTTCCTGTTTTGGCTGAGTGTTTGTTACCCAGCCATCATCGGGGCACTGCATTAAATTGATGTAAGATTTAACTGAGCAAATGCTTACAAAGAGTTTAGTTATATATGTATTTGATATCAAATAACAATTATGAATTTTCCACACGTTAATATTCAGAACAAAGGACCTGATCCGTATTAGCATGTTTCCATCAACATAAATAATAAGTAAATTTCAAAGTTGTAATAAAATTTAAAACGGGCAAATATTTTTTTTATTCCTTCTTTGTGTTTATAATCTGTCGGAACTGAAAAAAAGCCATGAAGGATACAATAAGATGCAAGCGTTTTAAAGGCAAGGTGATATCATAACACGTCGTCACTTCTCATATTTAATCAACAATTTTAACGTACTATTTTTTTAATTATATGATCTTTTTCGGTGTTTATCAGATTTAGAATTCTGAAAACCAGATAACATGGTGATATCCGGGGAAACATATGTTCTTTTAAATGAATTTGAAGGTGTGCCTACCCATAAAAATATCACGTGATGTTTCAATATAGTCTTCACGCTAGATCACAACTAGTGGAAGGCAACTGTCGCCGATTCGTCTTCAAAATCAATTACATTGTGTGTGTAATGTGTTTAAGTTGAGCAAATGTAACATTTTTCATATTAAATACAAATACGAGATCGATCGCTTAAAAACATTAACAGAACGACCGAAAGTCATCTATTAATTATGCTTGATTACTTTGACTGTGATTAATTTTCCCCATGACTGCATTAGTTAAAAGTTGGTATAACGATTGTTACAACAACAGTACGGGTCTCTTATTAACGCTCGAACAGCACGGGGTAAATGAACAGTTTACATAGAAATGTTTACCTTTATAACATGGTGAGACTTTCGGAAGTTTTGAACCTGGCATTTGTTTTATATGTCATAACATCCTAAGCCTCTGTTTCTTTTCAGATGTACAACAATCCCATGTACCTATTTTACACTTTAACACATTTTCACAGAGTAGAAAAGTGGTTTTATCTATCAAAACGACGATTAGCAATTCAGCATGACAGGAGATATTGGAGTGAGTGAGTGAGTTTAGTTTTACGCAGCACTCAACAATATTCCAGCTATATGGCGGCGGTCTGTAAATAATCGAGTCTGGGCCAGACAATCCAGTGATCAACAGCATGATCATCGATCTGCACAATGGGGAACCGATGACATGTGTCAACCAAGTCAGCAAGCCTGACCACCCGATCACGTTAGTCGCCTCTTACGACAAGCATGGGTTACTGAAGATCAATATTCTAACCCAGGAGCTATTGAAGCAGCTGCAGTGTCGGCTATATGCAATGTAATGGCGGCGGTCTGATCGAGTCTGGACCAGACAATCCAGCGATTACATCATGAGCATCGTTCTACATAATTGGGATTAGATGACATGTCAGCCACGTTAGATCCAGTTAGTCGCCTCTTACGACAAGCATGGGTTACTGAAGACCAATTCTTATCCGGGTCTTCACGGGTATTTTCCAATGGAAACACAAAACAGGACGAAAAACGCTCTTTGTCCGCCTATTCAATGCTCGATTTTACTTTGTAATTGACTATAATAATATGGGAGTGTCGGGGCTTGGATTATTGGAAATGATGGAAAGAGCCGGACAGCCATTAGATTATTAAATAAATGGTTCCAAGTATGACCCTTATTGTTATGAAGGTATTAGACAAATAGTCAGCCAACACAGATAACTTGAAATATCTGTGGACAAGTGGATCTCTACACCACATGCTATAAATTACCCCACTACGTCACTGACTGCACGCTAACGAGCCATTGTGTTAATTATAATGCAGTTATATTACCGAGAATAATGGACATAATGTTTATTTCTGTCATTATGGCAATATTTCATATACGTTTGGCCAACGAAAGGAATACAGGATACATCTAAATCTGGCCATACACGATTTTAAGGGTGTCTAAACCTGTGTCACACCATTGTCACATTTGTTCACTGTCTCTCAAATGCTCCCGTGACAATTTTGACGAAATGACGAAATGACGCGTACATTTCAATCGTTGGTCATATGGGTCTCGGAGGATACGTTTATTTCCACACCTGGTTACATTTGAGAAATACTGTTGTGCTAATGGAAACGTGTACGCTTGTTAAGCTTTGCCAGACCCTCATCGATAAAACCTTAATGAGCTCACGTGAGCCTTGATGTCAAAGGTTTCAGCATTTTCGAAAATAAAACTATGTGAACCCAGTATTTCACACAGCTGAAAATTCAGTGTAATCCTGTTTTAGTACTGGCCATGTGGACATATAAAACTGTTCAAATACATGCCCTTTTTCCATTTTTATTTCAGTACACCAGGGTTACACTTCATACAACTACATGACAGCGATACTCATGCACAGAGTGTAATGTTTACTTTAATAGAGAACAGATTGACATATGTTGATGATGTTGTTGTTGATGTTATAATCCCATTGGTAGAATGCTATATTAATACAGTAGTGCATTTACGTAATCCTCTTATAGTGCTTTTCCAACACACAGAGAGAATACACACCCTTGATATCCGGAATGATACATAAGTTTCTAAGGCATGAAAACATTTGAAAATATAAAAGATTACAAATGTTTTCCCACCTAAGGAAATAACAGATTAGGATTAAAATATTTCAATTGAAAGGAATGAATTGGAAATACGCTATGAACAAGCATTTCCTGAGGTATCAACTGTTCACTTCATACTTGGAAATGTCTGCAAATCCGGCCATAGCATATATGAAAAAGGAGTGAGTGCATACGGCAATATACGATGTCATAGCCGAACAATGGAAATCTGACAACTGTTAGTGTAGAGTACTCCTTTTGTGTACTCCTCTGACAAGTGTAAATTGGAACAGTTCCCATGGCCGAAAGATATAAATACACACTGTCTTTATTCTTTGATTCTTGTATCGTTGCTTATCTGACTCTCCAACTTCTTAAAATGCCACGCAAAGAAGTTGCCATGTATGATATTTGAAATGCAGTCTTACGCCAAAATTGATACAATGTCCAAACTCTATGATGTTGAGCTTAAAAGGGCCTCATGCAACAAACGGTGATACATTATAAAGCCAGAAGGCGCACCAACCATTCAGTGACTGAGTTTAGTTTTACGCCGCTTTTAGCGATATTCCAGCAATGTCACGGCGGGGGACACCAGAAATGGGCTTCACACATTGTACCCATGTGGGGAATCGAACCCGGGTCTTCAGCGTGACGAGCGAACGCTTTAACCACTAGGCTACCCCACCGCCTCTCCAAACATTGAGACAATGTGAGCAATTCAATATAATTATGCCATAACCTGTAGCGTGACCTTCGCCATGGAGACGACATGGAACAACACATTACGCACAGTGTTTTCATTGTGTCACGTGAGTGAATGCCGATGATTGGTTAAGTGTCTACTTCCTGCTCGTTCCATGCGTGAGATATTGATCAATGTAATCTGGTGTCTATGCGCGGAGACAATCTTAAAATCTTTGTGACGAATTCACCTGTTATGGTCAGTACAGAGTGTTCCACGACGTCTACATATATGACGAACCCCGATACAATGTAATACAGCGACAGACAGTCTAAGCTCCACTTCATATTGGGTAAGTACATCCTTATACAATAGTTTTAATCCACAATAACCCAACGCCGAAATCGTTAACCTTCGTTCCAAAACCAGAAGAGTAGAACATGTGACCTGTAAATTAACCTGAGTGTGCCAGTTTAGTTGTTATCAATATTCCAGCAATATCACGGCTGTGGACACCAGAAATGGGCTTAACACATTATACCCATGTGGGGAATCGAACCCGGGTCTTCAGCGTGATGAGCGAACGCTTTAACCACTAGGCTACCCAACCACCCCTAAATGATGAAAATTATATACTGGGCGTCATTAATATAGGGTCGAAATACACATGTAAAGACAAGTTTCTAAAAAATAACAGAACTGAGAGTGTCATCATTATGTTTAATGTGTCGACAAACGTGACACATCGTGACATACAGACAAAAACTCCAAACAGCATTAGCAAGCATCAGTTGTATAGACCAACCCCCAAAATGAAAACGACAAACATGAAGCACTCGTTCATTCAATATCTTGTGTACCCTCCTCGCGCGTCCAAGACACAGGTGCACCTTGTCCTCATGCCCCTTATGAAGTTCATATAGAAAGCTTGCGGAATCACATTCCATTCCTCTACTAGAGCTCTGCAGAGTCGTGGGAGATCCTCTGGTGCTGGGGGACGTGTGTACACACGTCGACCGAGTTCATCACAGGCATGCTCAATTGGGTTGAGGTCTGGCGAACATGCTGGCCACTCCATCCGCCCTACACCCTTCTGCCTAAGGAATTCCGTGACAATCCAGGCCCTATGATGCCTAGCGTTGTCGTCTTGCAGTAAAGAGGGTCGACCATAAAAGCCATCAATAGCTTGCAGGAATAGTACTGCTATAGGAGCCTATCATCTCGGACTGTTGTGACTCTGGGGCGACCTGGTCGACGTGCACATTCCACAGACCCATTGGCTTGAAATCTATGCTACCAATAGAGGACATTAAAGCGGACAGCAACCTGCCGCTGAGTTTGACCAGATTCCAAAAGGCCCATAGCCTGACCCCGTTCAGCAAATGTAAAAAACGTTTCAATTTAAGCTGCGATTTCAAACAGGTACCTGAACAGTGAACGACAGTGAAAAGCATCAATGCTTTTGTATTGTCCTCCACTTTCCATGGATACAGACACATGCACTCTTACTCACTTTAAAGCGGAAAGCAACCTGCCGCTGAGTTTGACCATATTCCAAAAGGCCTATAGCCTGACCCCTTTCGGCAAGTGTTTCAAACAGGTACCCGAACAGTGAACGACAGTGAAAAAGCATCAATGCATGTGTATTGTCCTCCACTTTCCATGGATAGAACAAATCATTGACATTAAGTGGCAGGTGGATTTCCATACTGACAATCTGAATAAAAAATGTGACATTTGTAACGTAATGTATCGGACGTTAAAGAACGTAATAATGGCATTTCAACGGCCTGATGTGTGTTTTCTTAAGGTTATTTTTTAAAACATTCAGTTGTATTTTTTTCAAACAAAAACGAAGATTTTACAACGTTTAAAAAATAATGTTACCAATAGCTTGGCCCTTCATTAATGACGCCGAGTATGTATGTGTTCAATTGAATATGAGGAATGACGTTTACACCCACACTAATTTGTGTTATAACATCACGCAACATTTATAAAGGCTAACCCACCGCCCCTTAAATTAAACTGGGGCCAACTGACAAATTATAGGATAAAGCTGAACATTCCGTGTGCACGAAAACTGGTATCAACATTTCAGGTTTGTGTCAGACTGTTGACCTCCATCTTCGATCATCATTTACTCTACCTGGGTTATATTATATTTTGTCCATTTTTCAATCTTCTATGTTATTTATTGTTTAAGGGGTAAACATAAATAGCGATGGGTGTTCTGAATTATCATCATTGTGAGGGAGGTAATTCATATTAGTATCTTGTTGTGCAATACACACGGCTGTTTTAACTAGGTTTTGGCCAATGACATGAAAAATGTTGTTATAAAGAGTAAAAAAAAAAAATCACGTGCAGCTTTTCACGTGATCACGTTTGCAATCGCACGTGTACTGGAATACAAGCACACAACTATTGATAAATAGGAAAATTGCAAGTATATTAAAACCACTCAGACGTGGGTAGGGTTAATAGACAATCCGTCACAGCAGTTGCAAGACATTACACAGCTTAATGACCCGTGTGCAACAGGACCGCCTCCGTGGTGTAGTGTAGAGCGTCCGCCCGGAGAGCGAAATGTCGCGGGTTCGATCCCCGACCGCGTCATACCAAAAGACGTTAAAATATTGTATTTGTTGGTCCCTACCTGGCGCTCGGCATTATTGGGTATAACAAGGACTGGTCGGCTGGGAGTTAGTATAATGTGCCTGAGTGGGGTATTCATGCTTCACTGTGGTATGGTATCTCAGTGGGCTAGCACTATAAACCAGCTTCAGTCTGGGCTAGTACAAGCAGCCGCACATACACATACACACGCATGCACGTCGTCATATCAGCGAAATATTCTCAAGCACGACGTAAAACCCAATTTCACCTCACCTCACCGTGTGCAACAGACGGACACCGTTGTAAATTGCCCCAGGAATGGGAGTAGCATGTGAGGTCACACTAAGAGGACGCACAAATCAGAATAGGAGCGGGGAACGCCACGCACAGTGTTATGTTCGTGAAGTTGACCGATTTGGATGCGGCAGCATAATGTTTGTCGAGCATTTTGTGCCAACGGTCGATCGCAATTGATCGTCTTTGTGAGAATCTTACTGCAATACAGAATTGTGACCATGTTTTGACTCCAGTCCTTCTGCATTTCATGCAGCTAACACGACAACGCTACAATGGACTGGCTTTAACGTTCCCCAGCTTTGCACCCGGTCGTACCCTACTTTAGGGTGTTTTGTTGTTTAGCATACATGTAAACGAACATATTTGAGCCACTGACGGTGTATACAGTTTTCAAAAATGGACAGAGTAAAGACACTTTACAGTTTACAATAGCTCGGTTAAGTATCAAGTATAACAATGACTCGCTGATACAAATAACAAAAATAAAACAATATTGAACTTTTTGAACAGTGTACAGAACAAACGATTTTGATACCTGATATATACTAACATAAAACTACTATTTTAGGCCAGCTCAAAATCGATCCCTAAATAAGTATTCCACGTGCCTTTGGCCATACCCATTCCTGTGAAAAAGCAGTTTCATCAGCAGTAAAAAATTGTTCCTAGTCATACTGGTAGACTCATCTAACTCTATTTCATTTAATCTTTTTCAGATGTAACTGTGAATGTGCAGGTTCCACGATGGGCTCTTTTAGTAAATGCTTCGAGGCTGTGTCTGACTTTTTCCAGAGAATTTTCGGCGCCATCGGCGTTTTTATTGGCACCTACCCAGTTATCCTCATAATTATCTCACTTTTGGTAACTATTGTTCTCAGCTGTGGTATGGTAACACTGTCCAGCGAGTCTGACACAGAGACACTGTACACGCCCACTAACAGCCGAGCATCACAAGACAGAGTTCAGTACCAAGCCACGTTTCCCGATGCCACGGGAAGCAACTACCGCGGATATGCACTGTCAGATCTCTCAATGTTTGGCCGACTTGTAGTAAGCAGTGCAACAGGTGGGAACATACTGTCTAATGTATCACTGGAAGAAATACGGAACCACATCAGAATAATAAAACATTTCAATATTACATATAATGGTGTGGTGTTCAAATATGACGATATTTGTGCTCGACAAAATGGGAGTTGTTTTGCGTCAGGAGAGTTCCTTGTGACAGATGCTGTATACCAAGCCTATCTAACTGGCGGAATCACCTACCCAAACTGGGATAACATTGACTTATCAGCAATTCTAGGCCAGGTTGATTCAACAGGTGGAAAACTAGTGTCTGCAAAGTACCTGAGCATTACGTTTAATTTACGAATGGATTCAGCTGATAACAAGGCAAAGGCAAGAGCCTGGGAAGAGGAGTTCCTGAAGAGAGCAGCAGCTTTAGACACAACATCTACCAGGATAAACTACGCCGCCTCACATTCGTTGGACACAGAGCTGAACAAAAACACAAACGGAGACATTGTGTTCTTCTCTATAACGTTCACGTTGATGATCACGTATGCCACTGTCGTTGTCGGCGGTGATGTAGTGTCATCGAGGACGTGGGCATCTTGGGCCGGAGTGATGGCAGCTGGATTTGGCATCATCTCATCGTTCGGACTTGTCAGTTTTTGTGGTGTGAAGTTTGTCAATATCGTCGGTGTAACACCATTTCTTATCATAGGTACGTTAAATTTGTTTGGAGTTACAGCCTTCAAATATGAGCTATGTAGTCAGATATAGGGTATTTAGCTGACCTTACCACAGTGGCTGTCTCCCGTTATGTAACTTCTTTGAGTGCCATTTAGAAGTTGGTGTGATGAACAACAAGGACAGTTCTATGGATATACAATTTTATTATAATATGAGCGACGTTTCGGTGTAGCGTCTAATACCGTTCTCTTCTTGTTGAAGGTATCGGTGTGGACGACATGTTCCTGTTGATGTCCAGCTGGGCGGAGACCTACCCTCTCCGAGACCAGACTGTAGCCTCCAGGATGGGGAAGACGTTTGCCTCAGCGGGTATCGGTATCACCATCACGTCCCTCACGGATCTCCTGGCCTTTGTTATCGGCGTGTCTTCTGTTTTTCTCAGTGTCAGGAATTTCTGTCTCTATACAGGTTTGTGGTTGGAGTCGTACCTTTCTAATCTGCTTTTAGTACTGATTGGTTGTAGCTATGATAACAATTTGTGTTGCTTATGAAAACATATACACTGTTAACAGGTGAGGAATCTCACCGAAAGCCAATATTCTCGTCTCCACTTCATGTGCATATAGTTCTTGCTGTTCATATCATACTCAGAGTCATTAATGAAGGGTCAAGCTTTTGATAACACTATTTCCTAAACGTTGTAACATCTTTGTTTTTGTTTGAAATATACTAAGCAGCAAAAGAAAACTCAGTTTGGAATTTTCGTTCGCAGAAACGTATAACTGTAAACTCACTTAATGTTTTGATTGTATATTTTGACAACATCTCCAACTTTACCTGAGCAAAGACATTCCTTCCCAAACTCAGAATTGAATCCAGGAAATGGTCTCAAAAACGCAACCTGATCTCGGAGATGGTACGGTGTTCTCCATGTTTTCATGCAACTCATGCTGCACGTGCTGTTCACAACGACCAGCCCTATAAACTGCACCCCCAAAGCTGGTTGAAACATTCAAATTACAACGTCAGCAGGATGCCGCGACTCACGACAGCTCAGAGGAACCCATTCGTCACCACTCGCCCCTTTACGTAAACTCCAAGAAGACTCGTCCCCCTATCGATGCTTGTTATGTGCGAAAATACGACAAACCAATCAGAACGCGCGTAAATGACTGCGATGCTTTGGTAGAAATAACCCCGAGTACTTAAATCGTTTATGGCATTATGTCATTGTTTAAAAAATCATGAAAAATATATATCGTCATATTGAAAGTACAAAGAACTTAGCTAACAGGATTTTGCTGCCTATTATGGTGTGTTTGATAAGAATCATGCGATTGACGGTGACAGATTCAAATACACGCACGTGCGTTTGTTGACATAACGACGCTCATGGGTCCAATTGAGGGTGTTTCTGACGATCTTGCGGGCTTGCTATGGAGATTGTACGTGCGCTTCCAACAATTTTAGGAAATGTAATTATAAATCGCTAAGAGTTTCAAAACAATAATATCAGACATATATCTGCATGTAACTAATCAACTTTAATCTTTAACATTGGGCATATATTTCACATCTCTGGGAATATTTTAGTCTGACTTTTTTTTTGTACATTCATATATTTTTCTGCGAATTCATTTAAAATTCCCCTTGGGGTATGACAGCAAGGTTACACGAATGTTCAGTTTGAGAAATCTTAATTAATTTTTTTTGGGTCTGTTTGGGAATTAATGTAGCTTTCATAAATTTCATTTACATATTTAATAAAACAAATCCCTTTTGTGATTGTCAAACCCTATTTAGAAATATACTTGGAAATATAAGGTGAACCTCTGGTAATAATTACGTCAGAATAAGTCTGTAACAAATAATTTTTTCTCCTTCTTTTAGTTGTATCAAAAAGGTTTAATTCTTTAAAAACATAAACAGCAATACAATGAATGATTACTTCGGTGATATTAAGTACCATTGGAATCGAACAAGAATAGAGTTATCGTTCCTGTTTAAAGTAGTTCTGATGTTCAGGCGCCAATATGAAATCCTTCCAGAGGGGCACGAGTCGCTATTCGGCTTGTCCCGGAATAACACGAGTTGGTCACGAATGCACAAGCCGTTGCCAATCACTTCCAGGTCAACGTTCGGATCATCTACACGCTGCAGCAACGTTTCCGGGCCACCAACACCACAAGCACCCCCGTACTGGCATACCAAGGGTGACCACAAGACGACAAGACCGCCATGTTGTGCGACAGAATCCCTTCATGCAGGCATCCGAAACACCACGCCAGACAGTGGGAACACACGGAAGACCAATCAGTACTAATACAGTACGCCGACGTCTTAATAGCGGGAACCTCCATTGCCGTAGACCTTACCGTGGACCTATCCTCACCCCTCATCATCGGCGTGAACGTCTACAGTTTGCCCTACAACACCAAAACTGGCGATACAGGCAATGGTGAACTGTTCTGTTCACAGATGAGAGTAGGTAACGCGTATCAACTGCAGATGGCAGAACAAGAATATGGCGACGACGTGGCCAGTGTTACTCAGACCACTGTGTGTTTTGGAAAGAGACTCATGGGGAGGTGCAAGCATCATGGTATTGGGTGGAGTAGGCCTGAACCAGAGAGTGGGTCCTGTGGTGTTCCAGAACCTTGGTCCAGGCAGAGGTGGCGGCATCACAGCGGTGCGCTACATCGACCAAGCTCTCAGACCCCACGTCATATCACATTTCGCATGTCACCGGAACAACATTTTCTAACATGGTAACGCCCGGGCCCATACTGCCAGAGCTACACGAGACTTCCTACAGCAGAACGGTGTCGACATTATGCAGTGGCCAGCCCTAAGTCCTGATTTAAACCCAATTGAACAGCTTTGGGATGAAATTCAGAGGAGACTGAATAATGTCATACCAAGGCCGAACACAGCCGATTTATTGCACCAGACCTTTTTCAGAGTGTGGTTCAAGGTGCCAATGGCCTTCATCAATCGATTGGTGCACTCCATGCATAGACGCTGTGCTTCAGTTATTGCCGCTCGTGGTGGTCACACTAGATACTGAAGTCAAGAGTCTGAATGGACTGCAAACGTTCACGTAATGACTTGGAATTGTGTTATTCATTGATGTGTCAGGATATTGTACACAAAAATGTTTTTGATCCGCTTATTATGTCCATTTCTGCAATGATTTGATTACAGTGCCTATCTAATTTTGAATTCGTACTGACGTTGTTTTTGCTGCTGAGTATAGATGTACAGATGGTAGAAGTAAAGGGTGTGAATGGACTGCAAACGTTCACGTAATGTCTTGAATTTGTGCTGAGTTATTTATTGTACACAAGATATTGTACCCAAAAAATGTTTTTGATCCGCTCGTTATGTCTATTTCTGTTATGATTTGATTACAGTGCCTATCTAATTTTGAATTCGTACTGACGTTGTTTTTGCTGCTGAGTATAGATGTACAGATGGTAGAAGTAAAGGGTGTGAATGGACTGCAAACGTTCACGTAATGTCTTGAATTTGTGCTGAGTTATTTATTGTACACAAGATATTGTACCCAAAAAATGTTTTTGATCCGCTCGTTATGTCTATTTCTGTTATGATTTGATTACAGTGCCTATCTAATTTTGAATTCGTACTGACGTTTTTTTTGGCTGCTGAGTATATATACAACTGAATGTTTTACAAACTTTCTTAACAGTATGGAGAAACACATCAGGCCGTTGAAATGTCATTATTACGTTCTTTAACGTCCAATAGATTCTGTACAAATGTCACATTTTTTATTCAAATTGTAAATATGAAATCCACCAGCCACTTAATGTCAATGATTTGTTCTATCCATGGAAAGTGGAGGACAATACACATGCATTGATGCTTTTTTCACTGTCGTTCACTGTTCGGGTACCTGTTTGAAACACTTGCCGAAAGGGTTCAGGCTATAGGCCTTTTGGAATATGGTCAAACTCAGCTACAGGCTGCCTTCCGCTTTAACTGGTCGCCCCAGAGTCACAGCAGTCCGAGATGATAGGCACATGATTAACACTGCGGTACATAAAAGATTCCTTAACGCAGCAGATCTTCAGACAGAACATTTCAATGTTAACAATGCAAGGATATCCAGGAGCACCGTTCGTGGTCAGTGGTCTCGTCTGCTCTTCACAGAGGAAAGCAGATCCAATTTTTCCTTCCATGATGGTCGGCAGAGGATTTATCGTCCCAATGGAGAGCGAATCACAGATGCAACTGTGGCCACGGGTCGGTCATGGTTTGGGCAGGGATAACCCCTACTGGACGTACTCCACTGCACGTGGTCGACGATAATCTTACCAGAAAGCCTTATCGGGACGAGATTCTGGCTCCTATAGCAGTACCATTAGTGCAAACTATGCATGGCTCTTATGGTCAACCCTCATAGGGCCTGGATTGTCACGGAATTCCTTAGGCAGCAGGGTGTAGGGCGGATGGAGTGGCAAGCATGCTCGCCAGACCTCAACCCAATTGAGCATGCCTGTGATGAACTTGGTCTATGTGTGTACACACGTCACCCAGCACCAGAGGATCTTCCAGGACTCTGCAGAGCTCTAGCAGAGGAATGGAATGTGATTCCGTAAGCTTTCTATAGGAACCTGATAAGGAGCATGAGAACAAGGTGCACCTATGTCTTGGACGCGCGAGGAGGGTACACAAGATATTGAATGACCGAGTGCTTCATGTTTGTCGTTTTCATTTTGGGGGGTTGGTCTATACAACTGATGTTTGCTAGTGCTGTTTGTCTGTATTTTCACGATGTGTCACGTTTGTCGACACATTAAACATTATGATGACACTCTTAGTTCTATTATTTATGAGAAACTTTTCTTTACATGTGCTATATATCATTTGACCCTTTACAAATGACGCTTAGATTATATAGATTCTTTGTTTTGAAATTTATAAGACGGCGTTCTAACGTTCCTGTTGTGTTGTTGCGCAGTTCAAATAAATGTATTACAATACGTGCCTGTGTGGAGATCAGATTGCCGGCTTTTTGATCCACTGGCCAAGTAATGCAAATGTTTAAATTTGGTACTTGTTGTTACCCTGCCTGGCGTCTCGGAGTTAGTGTTCTATATCTGAGTGTCCTGTCCATGTTTAGCAGCGACATGGAATGAAATCTTTAACGTAACGTTTAAGCATTGCACCTCACCAATAGATACATTTCGTGTTCCTCCAATAGCTTTCATGGTGTCTATATTCATTGTGCATATATTCCTCTCGTTCACAGGTGTGGCCGTCATCTTCTGCTATCTGTACCAGTGTGTCTTCTTCTCCCCTTGCCTGGCCCTCCATGGCCGTCGTGTTGACAGTAACAGACATTGCATGACCTGTCTCAAAACCAAATCCAGAGAAGACCTCAGGAAAGACGATGGCACCTCAACATGTAAAGTGTTCTGCTGTGGAGGGTCACCACCAGCAAAGAGGGGGCAGGACGAACGATACTTTGAGACCCTGCCACGGAAGTACCTGCCACGAATGCTGCTGAATATGTGGGGAAAGATTATTGTTATTCTCATATATATTGCATACCTTAGCGTGTCCATATGGGGAACCGTGAACTTCAAACAAGGTTTGATTCTGAAGAATCTAGTGTCCACAGATTCATACTATCATTCCTATAGTGAGACATATGATATGCACTTCTCCAGTTCTTTTCCTATCCCGTTTATATTTGGCCCAACCACAAATTACACAGATAAGAATACAGTAGATCACATCGAGTCTCTGATTGATACTGCAAAAGCAGACTCTGGGGTAGACGAGAATTCACTTATTTGTTGGTACTATTCTTACAGAGCAACAACTGCTTATGATAACAGCAGCAATATCGCTTTTGTATCAGGATTGAAAGCATTTCTTACAACAACCACAGTATTTGATAATGATGTTGTATTTGACTCATCCGATACTGCTGTCAAAGATTCCCGATGTTATTTTTTATCAACAAATATTAAAGAATCCAACGCCCAGGCCGATGTGATGGTTCGAATGAGGGCATTGGCAGACAACTCACCTCTCTCTGTCTACACCTTCCATCCTGCTTACATCTTCTTTGAGCAGTATGTTGCTATCCTACTCAGTACATTACAAACTGTGGGCGTCGCACTGGTCGTTATGACTGTGGTCACCTGCATCTTCCTTCCTCATCCCTTCCTGGTTTTCCTTGTGGTCATTAACATTGTTTCTATCCTCGTTGGCATCTTCGGGTTCCTTCATGTCTGGGGACTGAGTCTCAGTTCAGTGACAATGATCCACCTCATCATGTCTGTTGGCTTCTCGGTGGACTTCAGTGTGCACGTGTGTTCTGCCTATATGCTTGGGGAAGGAAGAAACAGGAGAGAGAAGGTCGAATCTGCCATAGCCCACGCAGCTGGTCCCATATTAAATGGTGGAATGTCATCTTTTCTGGGGATCCTTGTGCTGGTATTCTCAAAGTCCTACATCTTCAACTCGTTCTTCAAGATCATGTTTACAGTCATCCTGTTCGGTATGTTGCATGCCGTGTTTCTTCTCCCTTTGATACTCTCTATTCTTGGGCCAGTAACTACCTCAGCTGTAAGACCCCAGAGCAAACCGACTGATCCTGCGCCTTCTATCTCGTCAAAGATGCAGAATGGAATGGAATCAAGGAGGAGCATCGCCTGCATCCACGAGGAAACTGAACAGTGAAGTTGTGGTACCCGGTGTTGAGACAGAATGGAGCAATTTCCAATACCCTTGTCAAATACAATCAGACCCTGTCGCCGTATTAGACTTGGACATGTTTGTCATGTACATTATTATTGTACTCATCCACCCGTTGTTCCGCGAGATTGCAGGTCCAGGGTATAGACAAGAGCTGCTTCCAAAAACTTTCATTTGATTCCATACAGGACCTTTACTCATACAGTGCTCGTATTCAGTTGCCTTTTAGCATTTTTCGTCAATGAGTGACATTTCGTTTTGTTTCAAAGAATATTTTCATGTCTTACTTTCAATTTCTTTCTGACCATAATTTAACTTCGCATCAGGGAAACAAGAATATGATTTAAAATGGTCCCTAGTATGGTGATCTACCTTCAGTTGTTTTTATATTGTATTGTCTTCTGTAATTGAAATATTTCAGATTGACATACACATGTACTAGTTTTATATCCATATCTGTGATATTCTAGTTCTTTTTACTGTCTTTCTATATCCATATATGTGATATTCTAGTTGAAAATACTCACTCATTGATTTAGAATGTTTTCTTTTGTTGCCTTATATTTATTTTTTTCGAAATAGATTTTTGACGTTTAGTCACTGACTTCATTGAGTAATATTATTCCTACCAGGGAGTGAGTGAGTTTTACGCCGCACTCAGATATATTCCAGCGATATAGCGGCGGTCGGTAAATAATCGAGTCAGGACCAGACAATCCAGGGATAAACAGCATGAGCATAGATCTACGATACAACTGCATGTGTCAACCAAGTCAGCGAGCCTGACCATCCGATCCCGTTAGTCGCCTCTTACAACAAGCATGGGTTACTAAAGACTAATTCTAACCCGGGTTTACGGGTTTATTCATACCAACCTGACACAAAAGGTCAGTAAATTAGATTATGATATATGTCGACTAGGAGTCATAAACACAGCAGATTGTTTTCATGGTAGTAAATGTAAAGTCATTCTTTTCTTTGAGCGCAACGTGTTAAAAGTAGATGTGACACGTTATATCTATATATATATATATATATATATATATATATATAATGCATATATATATGCAGATTTGTCTAAAATATACCAGTTGATCCCAATTTCATATGAAATGGAGGACGGGGATTGACCAGAACAAGATAATGAGATGGTTTATATTATATACATATTTTATATTTGTAAAACCCAGATTTATGTAAACTATATTGTTTTCATTGCTCTCTTACCTATCTTAGTCGTTCCTCTCTGTTCTGTTGGTGTATAGTACAAATTGTAATTTTGTTGTGTAAAAATAGGGGAGAGAATGGCCTTGTTTGGAAAACCCAATCCAATTATCTTTTATGAATATGGTGTTTAAAACAACTATCTTTGTTTCATTTTGTATGTCTGTGTCTCTCTGTCATGTGTCCCTAGTATGGCGATCTATAGCCTGTTTTTATATTGTATTGTCCCAGTAGTGTCCACTAGTTTTAGTTGTAATTGTGATATTCTGGTTGTTTTACTGTCCTTCGTCGACAGGTTTTTATAATATACATATATTCCATTTCAATGTCAAATATGTTCTCGTCACGATAGGGCTGAAATATTGCCGATGTGACGTTAAATATTAACTCACTTACTTACTCACTCACTCAGCTGTTGGCAATCTATAGCTGTTTTTATGTGGTAATGTCTTCTGTAGTTAAAATATTTTAAATTTACATATTTGCTTTACATTCATATTTGTGATCATTTAGTTGTTTTACTGTCCTTTGTTGACAGGCTTTTTATAATTTACACTTGTTTTAGTCACGATATGGCTGAAATATTGCCGATTTGTCTGTAAATCTTAACTCACTCACTCACTCACTTTCATGTAAATATAATGAAATAGTTTCACGATATAGTAGCAAGAGATTGACAAAAGATGAAGACTATTTAAGAATACCTGTCAACATGCATTACACATAGCATTATATAATATTGATCGGGTTTCTGTGTAACTAAAACAGGAAATTACAGACCACTGGTTATATATAACAAATATATAAACGAATGAATGAATAACATAAAAAAAAAACACACAAACGGGTAACATGTCTTTTAAGCTAAAGGCGGCAATTTCATCTAATTTCTTACTATTTCCTGTTTATCACTGACGTGTCAAACTTAGGAATGTACTTTATGCATCTTTCATATTAAGTTTGGAAAACTGTTTTACACCCAGAATGGTGTAAACCTCAAAACACCTTTGGCGTCGTAGACCTTCGTAGAAAAACAACATACAGTATTGTTGACCAATTTTTGTTACAGTGGATGTGTATGCATATTTCTATTATGAATAACTAGTCCATTTGTATTACGCTAAATCTACACCGACAACATGCTCATGGCGCATGAGTATTATTACCAGGGATATCCTAAGCTGCCTGTGAGGCGCTAGAAGGTTAATAGTTACATGACTTATCCCACCGGGTACCCATTTTCTGCTGGGTGAACAAGGGCAATTTTGAACAAACTCACTTACCTACGGTGAGACCACATGAGTGAGTGAGTGAGTTTAGTTTTACGCCGCACTCAGCAATATTCCAGCTATATGGCGGCGGTCTGTAAATAATCGAATCTGGACCAGACAATCCAGTGATCAACAGCATGAGCATCTGTCTGCGCAATTGGGAACCGATGACATGTGTCAATCAAGTCAGCGAGTCTGACCACCCGATCCCGTTAGTTGCCTCTTACGGCAAGCATGGGTTACTGAAGGTTCATTCTAACCCGGAGACCACGTGAAGCAGATGAAGCGGTTTCATCGGTCTCTTCCATTTCTAGTTTTGATTTGGAATGCAGAGGAAGGGAATGGGCTATTAAAACGTAATTGAACAGTATCAGATCGATATTCCTTTGCTTGAGTGAAATATCTTTGCCCTATCCCGGTGTTTTGATTTTGCCAACCGGAACAGAATTTCCGATATTAACATACATTACACGCAGTTGGAATGCGGTTAGTACTATGGGTATGCCGACTTCCTACCTACATTTCCATGCATCTATTAAGAATTCCAGTATTTCACCATCATTTTTTCTCGTTAACTTCACATGACATTTGGTTTAGTTTTTACACATGATGTACATAATTGCATTTGAAGTATCATCTTCTTTCGATATACCGCACTTGTTTAGTTTATGTAAAGACATTCTAAATTCACAAAAAAATCACCTACTAATGATTTATATAAAAGTAAATGAAGGCAGATGATCAAATGTTGATTATTGTCTAAGAATATGTTCACTTCGTGAATTAGACTTGGAAAATGAGTATCATTCTCTACTTGTGTGTGAACATTTATAATGACTTCAGAAAATCATGTTTTCCATTGTATTTTTGTAATAACAAATCATTTCAAGTTTAAGTGCCACGTGATGACGGCTAATTATTCACTACTGTTCAAAGTATGTAAATATATGATTCATAGTCTTAAAAGGAGGCAAACATCATTGAAAGTATAACTATTGTAGATATTATGTATGAATTATGTATTGAAATATATATGTATACGGGCCAACGGCCTAAAACATGAATAAACGCACTTGACTGACTATATAATTGTTTTATATACATTTCATGTTGAAGAAGAACTTTATGTACACTGCAATGTTTAAGAAATTTCGAATTGTGTACATCTGAATGCCATTTTTTAAACGACACTTTTCCAACATCTAATAACTAATCCATACAAATGAAAAAACAATTGTAAACGATAAAGTTTTCATGCCAGACCCCCAATTACATCTTACACTTTCATCCACCGATTTTATCATTTTATGAAATTGGTAGGGATATCGATAATAACTCATTCTCTTCCTGTTTCCATGGCAACAATTTAATCCATGTTTTTATGACACGTACTTTTGTTACCGAAAGCATGTTATGGCGACCAAGTTAACCCCAAATAGCTCTATTTGATGCAAATTTGCCAAAATTTAAAAAACGTTCGAAGAATGAAGCATGAACCTTTTCGATAACATTGTAATATGTAGTCCCCCAATATTCCAGCACCATATAATACAATCGGAGCAATTTTACAATCAAACATGGTATAAGCTGACTTCAGTGTTTATTGTTCAGTTTTATTGAAAAGTTGAATTATTGGAAACAGAGATTGCTAGCTTGATTAGCAAAAACGCCACAGGATTTTGACCAATTTAGCAGTTGAAAGTATTATCCCCAGATATTCATAATATGTAACAGTTTTTAGTTCTGTATTACCAGTTTTCCATTTTTCATGATGTGCTATAGTTCCCACGTTGCGAAATCCCGTAATATTACTTACTTACCTGGTACATGTATTAACCTAGAGCTGAAGTGGCGCTTTTTGAAATTTAGGAACGTTTCAAAATTAGATTTTTCCCTGTTTCCATGAAAACAAGTGAGTGTTAGCTGAAATGGAGGTGGGTGTAGTTTCCGGAGCCCAACTCTAAAACTGAACAAAACTTGGCAGATATAACAAACAGTTTCCGAAGTGGTGCTTTTTGCTGTTTGCGGGTTTGGGGCATTTTTAATTTTCTCAATATCTATGGAAACGATTTGGCCGCAAATTGAGGTGGGTACACTTTTCATCCAAACTCTGGTACATGTATTAACTAAGGGCTAGGTAGTGCCTTTTGCTATTTAGGAATTTTGCTTCCTGTTTCCATGGCAACAGGTTGACTTTGTTCATAGTGGTGTGTTTGTCCATATCATATCTCTAAAACCAAATAGCATTCTTTCACGAAACTGTGCGCAGAGGAAGACTAGGTTGTCAAATGGTGCCTTGTGCTACTTGGGTTGAGAAGAATTTGATTTGTCCGTTTCCATGTTTGATTTTGACTCTGTTCGTAGTGTTGTGTTTGTCAGGACCATATCGAGAAAGAGTACTCGGTATTCTTTTATGAAAGTGTGCACAAACAAGAGCCAGGTTGTCAACTACCGCCTTTTCTTAAATTAGGGATTTTTAAAATTTGTATTATTTCCATTGACTTCGATATTGGTGTGTACCTGACATAGAAGTACAAAGTTACGGATCCCAATTATTGTTTTGATAGCTGAATAACTACTCTTGTTGGGACAGATTAGACAGAATTTCTCTCATCAAGTTGGACTTAAAGTAACTGCCATATCATTTCTTATTTCACATTTGTTGAGGTCGGGGTGATTTGTCATCTTCTGATGACACTTGTTGACATATTGATCATAACAGTTGGCGATATAGACCCCTTGTATGGTCAAACTTTCAATAATAAATGACCATGGATCATGAATTGAAGTATTTCTTATGTTTAGCGGGTGGAATGGTGGTGTACAAAGTTGAAGTTTCACTTGTTCAAGATTGATAAATCAATATATATATTACACGCTTATATGTTGCAAATTACTGGTGTGGAAATGCCT